GGGGAGAAGGAGGGAGGAAGAAGTCACTATAAGGCTTTGTCTTCAGAATGAACCCATGAGCTGCATTGAGCTGCATATTCACACATATTCCTGTTACAGTTGGAGGGCAGGAGGAGAATCTCTGCAGAGGAAGCAATGAGGCATTTCTATTTCCAGGACCTTGGAGAAAGGATCCACAAGCTACCAGACAGTGAGTGCAACTAACCCTCCAAACCCTTCATCCACCCATATTATGTGTCCCCTCCCAGACTCCTCCATGCGGTCAGATTATCTACCCCATGGATCTCCATTTAGTCATTAACTACCCGAGTACTCCGCCCAGTCATATTATCTACCCCCAAATACTCCATCAAGTCATATTATCTACCCCTAGACCTCCATCCAGTCATATTAACTACTCCGAGTCATCCGTCCAGTCATTATCTACCCGAGTACTCCGTCCAGTCATATTCTCTACCCGAGTCTTCCATCCAGTCATTGTCTATCCCTAGACCTCCATCCAGTCAAATTATCTACCCCTGATTATTCCATCCAGTCATATTAACTACCCCCCAGTCATCTGTCCAGTCATATTATCTACCTGAGTCTTCCATCCAGTCATATTATCTACCCCTAGACCGACATCCCATCAGATTATCTACCCCTACACCTCCATCTAGTCATATTATCTACCTCTAGACCTCTGTCCAGTCACATTATCTACATCTAGACCTCCGTCCTTTCACATTATCTACATCTAGACCTCCGTCCTTTCACATTATCTACATCTAGACCTCTGTCCAGTCACATTATCTACCTCTAGACCTCCGACCAGTCATATTATCTACCTCTAGACCTCCATCTAGTCATATTATCACTCCCCTCACCTCAGCAAGATTACACATCCATCCATTTAGTCATGTCTACTTGTCCAACCCCTTTAATTCATATTTCACCTTTTTCTGTGTTCGGCATTGACTTGTGTACTTTCTCTCTCTAGCTACTTCCATCTTTGCACTGAAAGAGATTAGTCTCGAACCAGAGACCAAGCTCAGACCTGTCCCCGAACCAGGTAAAAAAATAAATAAACAAACTCCATCAATTGCCCCCCCTTTCATCTTTATTTACCTAAAAAACATTTAAGGGATGGTTGGGAGATATAAAATGGTTGGGAGCCATATGCTAAAGTGAATCTAGAACCATAGAATGGAAAAAGGATACATCCCATTGTACAGCGCTACAGAATTTGCTGGCGCGATATAAATGATAAAATAATAATCATATACTGAATCTAGAACCTTGGATCCGAGAGGGATATAATATACTGAATCTAGAACCTTTGATCAAAGAGGGAGGATATATAATATACTCAATCTAGAACCATACATCTGAGTGGGAGAGATATATTATATACTGAATCTAGAACCTTGGATCCGAGAGGGATATAATATACTGAATCTAGAACCTTTGATCAAAGAGGGAGGATATATAATATACTCAATCTAGAACCATACATCTGAGTGGGAGAGATATATTATATACTGAATCTAGAACCTTGGATCCGAGAGGGATATAATATACTGAATCTATAACCTTAGATCAAAGAGGGAGGATATATAATATACTCAATCTAGAACCATACATCTGAGTGGGAGAGATATATTATATACTGAATCTAGAACCTTGGATCCGAGAGGGATATAATATGCGGAATCTAGAACCTTGGATCCGAGAGAAATATAATATACTGAATCTAGAACCTTAGATCAAAGAGGGAGGATATATAATATACTCAATCTAGAACCATACATCTGAGTGGGAGAGATATATTATATACTGAATCTAGTACCTTGGATCTGAAAGGGTTATATCCTATACTGAATGTAGATTGGGAGAGGGCTCTATCGTATAATAAATCTAGAACCATACATAAATCTAGAACTGATACACTGAATCTAGAACCATGGATCAGACAGGGAGAGAGCTATATCATACCGAGTGTAGATTGGGAGGGGGCTATATCATATAATATTTCTAGGACCTTAGATCAGACAGAGAGAGGTTGATATACCAAATGTAGAAACCGATATTAGTCAGTGTTTGGCTATATGATCTACAGTATCTAGAATAATGTCTCAGTCAGCATGATGGGTGTATTATACCCTAAATCTGAGCCTGGACACCTAGAAGTAGTCACATTAATAAGTCATAGATAAAACTAGAAATAAAGGGAATTGGGGGCACACCCAGAACATGCATTTGTCAGCAGTGGTGCTGCCGTAGAGGCCAAAATGTAAACACAATACAGATTAAGGAACAACGCGCACACACAAAAAAGTGTGCTTTAAATTCTATACGGCTACTTAAAATAACCTATCTCAGCAAACTAACATGTATCCGGTTCCACCATGTGGGTCGTACATTCATTTTAACGTGGGAGACAAATTAGTGCTAAATGAACAAAGTATTTAATAAATCTGTTGTGAGATAAGTCAGACTGCCGAGATCTCATTTCAGTTCACATCCAGTCACGTAGACTCAGCCTGGTCCTTGGGTGAATGGAAGAATGTGGTCTTCACTAGAAGATTGTGATCTTGACGGCTGGAAGAAGAAAAATGAGCCGGGCAGTGCCTGACAGACTGCTCTCTGTGCCCGCAGCTGGTGGACAAGTGAACGTGGATATTAGGCAGTGCCAGCATGGGGCACCTAAGATACCCATATTATCTCTCCCAAGCCGTGCTGTCACAGTACGGACACTATGTGCTGATTTGCTGCTGTCCCTTTCAGGGACCCCTCCCACACTCCCTGCCGTGTAATGCTGTGCTCTTGCTGCCCCTCCTTCCTATGTTACTTCGTGTGTGCTTATTCTCTCCTTTACGCTCGGGCGCTGCTGAGCTCCACTATATAAAGGACTTGTGTGTTGCCTAAGATGTTAACTCCCACAACCCTGGACATTCTCCATGACATTTATACCTTTGTCCAGCAAGTGGCCTGGACCTGTTGCAACAGAAGTGATGGAGACGTTTAGATGAAGGAACAGTTTTGTATAATGTGTAATTGCCAGAAGGGGTGGATAAAGGCCGTGCGGTATCGTGGTAGAGAAGGAATGAAGCCTGGAAGGGAGAGGAGGGGTTTATGTGATGTCTTGCACAGGATGAATTCCTGTAGGGGGTGTTAAATCACAAGAGTTCTCTCTGCAATTCAGCAGAGGCCCAGGTCACCCTTGGTCCTGCTCTGTTTTAGGCTCTTGTCAAACTTCACTCTGGGGGCCCAAGTCTGGCAGATGTGGGTTCTCTAAAGGAACATTAACTGTATTTTCTCAGGAATTAAGAAGCAGCGCTCTGAGTGAGGCAGTCAATGTTAGAAGGGGGTCATTAGACCAGATAAAGAGATGGTGTAGGCAGGGACAGGTGCAGGACTTTCCAAATCCTGCTTGCTTACAGGCCCCAAGTTTAATGCTATGGAGGCTGTACTCCCTACCCTGTAATGAAGGTATTAAATTATTTGTTTGCTAGTCAGGGAAGAGTAAGGCAGGACTGAATCCCTCTCCCTGCTACATATCAACTGTATGAACTATTACAATAAAAACACGAAAGCTGTACTCTGTATTCTAGTCTTTGAGAACCAGAAGCTGTACTGTGTGTGTACTCAAAGAAGTGTCAATCATGGCATAAAATATAACGTGTGTAAATGTATAAAAGGTACGCAAACACCACTTTAAAGAATGCAATCATCTCCAAAAAAAAAATCCACTTTATTGTGTCGCTCCGCAGGAAAAGCATAATGCAGACGTCCAGCTAAGAAAATGATGCTTTCAGTGAGAACTGTCAAGGTTTAGGTCATGCGATGTCAGATCCTCTTCTACGTTTTCCAAGGCCCAGTGATGCTCTGTGATTTCCATGGCTTCCCACTCGGCCTGAGTATAGGAGATAAAGTAAATAGGATTTGTCTCTACCTCCATAATAGTACATTCCAGTAGTGAACTAAATGTCAGCTGTCCGTTGTTTAATCAAATTAAAGGGATCCCATAGTGCCAGGAAAACAGCCTGAGGTCGATTAAAAGTGGAGCTTCGCTGTCAACTATTGTCCAATCCCAATAGCCATTACAAATGACAGTTGTGGGATTCAGGCTTTGTCTATGAGGATCTTGCGGGATCTCGTGCATATGCAAGAGTACGGCACTAACGTGGCTACAGACAACTGAAGCACCAGGAGCCGAAAAAGACCTGCGGCATGAAGATGGCAGCGGCCGTGAGGGACTGCAGAAGGTAAGTAAAACTCACCACCTCATTATTCCACTGTCACGGGACCCACACTAGATCTGTCAGTTTCAGGGGTCTTTGCAAAATACACACTTTGCTTGTGTAAAAAATAAATACTGTTCAACAAACACAGCTAAACTGTTGAAAAAGCAGGGTTTAGCATAATATTAACACAAAATAAGCTGCTTGGTAAACTCACTTTAAAAGCTTTGTTGGGGTCAGGAGGTACAGCTAACGCAGCTCCTGTCATTTGATCCTGCATTATACGACTCTGGTCAGCAGCTGTAATAGTGAGGACGGTCATTAAATCTGCACAGATTCACCACACTAAATCGTTTGTACTCAGTAACAGGACTGGCTCATGGTATACATTACATCACTCCACAGAGAAACAGGACTGGCTCATGGTATACATAACATCACTCCACAGAGAGAGACAGGACTGGCTCATAGTATACATTACATAACTCCACGAGTCACTCACCATTGTCCTGTCCTAAGAGAAGCGCATACATACTGCGAAGGCCAAACACATTAAGGAAATACCAGGAGGCTGAACTCACCCTGCAAACAAATACAGACATTAAGGAAGAGGAATGGTGGCTGGCCAAGCATCAAACAGTGTGTCAGATGTCTTACCAGGAGGCGTCTAGAGACACCAGGTCAATCCCACGCTGCAACATGGGTTTAAATCTCAGTGTTAAGGGAAATGGCACTTTAGCTAGAAAAGATGAAAGCATGGTCTTCTAATGTCTCCAAGTACTCAATATCCATCACCTGGCATTAGCCCAACACATTACAGTATTTCTACCTACTTGTCAGAAAGCCAGAGAAGGCCCAGTTGATCCAACCTCCGATGAGAATCATAGGGAGAACATTAGTGAGATTCCCCTTCATCATCTCAGTGACCATGGTGGGGTCTATAGGCCAAAGAGTGAAATTATAACAGTTGCAATTCTTATAGAGTTGGAATGGGTCTGGGAGGAGGCTTCGCATTCTTACCTGTCATTGGATTTTTCTGGGTTACTTTTCTCTTGGTCTTCTTGAAGAATCCATTCTCTGAGTCATTGAAATAAATCTTCCTCATCAAGAAAGACTAAGGACAAGTCAGAAAATGAAGGTTATGTTTGTGTAACTTGCCATATAGTAGTCAAGGAGGTTATATGCACACGTCATCACAAAGGGTATGTTTACAGGGCACATTCTGAGGTCACAACAAACACTGACACATTGGGGGAGATTAATCGTACTTGTCGCTGACACATTTACGTGTCCTTTTCATAGATTTTGTTGGCAGAATTTGTTAAATGTGAGACCTTTAAACCTGATGGTCTTCTAAAATTTATATTCTGAAATTGGCAAGATTTACAAAATTGTCACTTTATAGATCACTTGTCCCGTGGCACACAGTCATAGCTAACTGTTACATTGTCCCTTAGCAAACAGTCAGCTGTTAGATGCCCTGTGGCACACAGTCATAGTCAGCTGTTACATGCGCCATGGCACACAGCCATAGTCAGCTGTTACATGCGCCATGGCACAGTCATAGCCAGCTATTACATTGTCCTGTGGCACACAGCCTGCTGTTATATTGTCCCGTGGCACACAGCCAGCTGTTACATGCGCCATGGCACAGTCATAGTCATTGTCCCATGGCACACAGCCAGATGTTAAATACTCCGTGGCACACAGTCACAGCCAGCAATTACATGCGCCGTGGCACACAGGCACAACCAGCTGTTACATGCGCTGTGGCACACAGTCCTAGTCAGCTGTTAGATGCGCAGTGGCACACAGTCCTAGTCAGCTGTTACATGCGCAGTGGCACACAGTGATGGCAAGCTGTTACATGCGCAGTGGCACACAGTCCTAGTCAGCTGTTACATGCGCAGTGGCACACAGTCCTAGTCAGCTGTTACATGCGCAGTGGCACACAGTGATGGCAAGCTGTTACATGTGCCGTGGCACACAGTCATAGTAAGCTGTTACATGCGCCGTGGCACACAGTCATAGTAAGCTGTTACATGCGCTATTGCACACAGCCATAGTCAGCTGTTACATGTGCCATGGCACACAGCCATAGTCAGCTGTTACATGCGCCATGGCACAGTCATAGCCAGCTATTACATTGTCCTGTGGCACACAGCCTGCTGTTATATTGTCCCGTGGCACACAGCCAGCTGTTACATGCGCCATGGCACAGTCATAGTCATTGTCCCATGGCACACAGCCAGATGTTAAATACTCCGTGGCACACAGTCACAGCCAGCAATTACATGCGCCGTGGCACACAGGCACAACCAGCTGTTACATGCGCTGTGGCACACAGTCCTAGTCAGCTGTTAGATGCGCAGTGGCACACAGTCCTAGTCAGCTGTTACATGCGCAGTGGCACACAGTGATGGCAAGCTGTTACATGCGCAGTGGCACACAGTCCTAGTCAGCTGTTACATGCGCAGTGGCACACAGTCCTAGTCAGCTGTTACATGCGCAGTGGCACACAGTGATGGCAAGCTGTTACATGCGCAGTGGCACACAGTCCTAGTCAGCTGTTACATGCGCAGTGGCACACAGTCCTAGTCAGCTGTTACATGCGCAGTGGCACACAGTCCTAGTCAGCTGTTACATGCGCAGTGGCACACAGTCCTAGTCAGCTGTTACATGCGCCGTGGCACACAGTCATAGTCAGCTGTTACATGCGCCGTGGCACACAGTCATAGGCAAGCTGTTACATGTGCGTGGCACAGTGCCGTGAAAACATTACGCTGGCGTGGCACACAGTCCTAGTCAGCTGGCTGCATGTGCGTGGCACAGTCATAATGGCTACATGTAGGTAGCTTTGTCCCTGGTCAGCTGTTGCATGCGCGGTGGCTTTGGTGGTAACTGGCTTGTTACATGTGCCGTGGCACACAGTCATAGTAAGCTGTTACATGCGCCGTGGCACACAGTCATAGTAAGCTGTTACATGCGCTATTGCACACAGCCATAGTCAGCTGTTACATGTGCCATGGCACACAGCCATAGTCAGCTGTTACATGTGCCATGGCACACAGCCATAGTCAGCTGTTACATGCGCCATGGCACAGTCATAGCCAGCTGTTACATGCGCAGTGGCACACAGTGATGGCAAGCTGTTACATGCGCAGTGGCACACAGTGATGGCAAGCTGTTACATGCGCAGTGGCACACAGCCATAGTCAGCTGTTACATGTGCCACGGCTTGCCTGTTACATGCCCTGTGGTACACAAGAGTAGGCTGCTGTTCAACATCAGATAGACAATGCAGTCTCCCGTGCTCATATATACCTGACGGGGGATATACTTGCAATTCTCCCTGAGGATCCGGCTGCGAAGTAGTACCTGGCTGAGAGATGGAGGAAAATCATGTTTATTAAGTATAGTAATTACTTTGGTATAAGCGACATGTCAAGTCTCAAGTAAGGTGAGTAGCAGTAATTGTGGGGGGCCAGTGACTGGGTGCAGGGATATCTGGATATGTGAGAACTCCAGCCATATGGGGATGCTCCAGCTCAGGGTTGGAGAAAGCAGTGTAATCGGTATTAGGTAGTGCCTCTCGCGCGGTGCGTGCCGGGTATTGTTATTGGCTGGCGCGGTGCGTGCCGGGTATTGTTATTGGCTGGCGCGGTGCGTGCCGGGTATTGTTATTGGCTGGCGCGGTGCGTGCCGGGTATTGTTATTGGCTGGCGCGGTGCGTGCCGGGTATTGTTATTGGCTGGCGCGGTGCGTGCCGGGTATTGTGGTAGCGCGGTGCATGCCGGGCAGTACCTGTCGCTCAGGGCCTCCAGCTCGGTGCCCTTGTCCCCCTGGAGGAGCCGGCTGACGTGGTGCCGGAGGAGGCCGCTCAGGAAGGTGATGAAGACGATGGGCAGTACGACCCACACCCGGATACTGGAGTCCAGCAGCAGCTCGGGACTCGCCATCTTGCCTGCCGTGACTTCACCCGGGAGGACTTCCGGGTCACACGACGACTTCCGCCACCCAGCCGGGTCAAGTCAGTCCCACGTGATCCCGGAAGTGGGTGGAGCCAGCCGGAGCCGCTCGGATGGAGGAGAAGGTCCTGCGGTATGAGGGCTTCGTGTCAGACACCCTGCAGCGAGACCTGCTGTGAGTACTGCGGCCAGACACGCCCACCCACCGCGCGGCCAGACACGCCCACCTCGCAGCGAGACCTGCTGTGAGTACTGCGGCCAGACACGCCCACCCACCGCGCGGCCAGACACGCCCACCGCGCAGCGAGACCTGCTGTGAGTACTGCGGCCAGACACGCCCACCCACCGCGCGGCCAGACACGCCCACCCACCGCGCGGCCAGACACGCCCACCTCGCAGCGAGACCTGCTGTGAGTACTGCGGCCAGACACGCCCACCCACCGCGCGGCCAGACACGCCCACCCACCGCGCGGCCAGACACGCCCACCTCGCAGCGAGACCTGCTGTGAGTACTGCGGCCAGACACGCCCACCCACCGCGCGGCCAGACACGCCCACCCACCGCGCGGCCAGACACGCCCACCGCGCAGCGAGACCTGCTGTGAGTACTGCGGCCAGACACGCCCACCCACCGCGCGGCCAGACACGCCCACCCACCGCGCGGCCAGACACGCCCACCCACCGCGCGGCCAGACACGCCCACCCACCGCGCAGTGTGGGAGTAAGATGGAGAGCGGTCTGTAAGGTGTGCAGCCATTATTAAAGGAGCGCCATAGTGCGAACAAACTCATTTCCCTGGCTCCATATAATCCCATGCCCCCCCCCAATGAGACAGCCACGAGAGGCTGGATTAACCCTCAATGTAAACATAGCAGGCAGCGTTAACACTAGAGGGACCTGGCACCCAGACCACCTCAGTGTGCCGAGTGCCCGTCACATCGCAATGACGGAGTGTGCCGAGTGTCCGTCACATCGCAATGACGGAGTGTGCCGAGTGCCCGTCACATCGCAATGACGGAGTGTGCCGAGTGCCCGTCACGCCACTTAATGGCGCGGTGTGTGCAGTGTCCGTCACATCGCAATGACGGAGTGTGCCGAGTGTCCGTCACATCGCAATGACGGAGTGTGCCGAGTGTCCGTCACATCGCAATGACGGAGTGTGCCGAGTGTCCGTCACATCGCAATGACGGAGTGTGCCGAGTGCCCGTCACATCGCAATGACGCAGTGTGCCGAGTGTCCGTCACATCGCAATGACGGAGTGTGCCGAGTGCCCGTCACATCGCAATGACGGAGTGTGCCGAGTGTCCGTCACATCGCAATGACGGAGTGTGCCGAGTGTCCGTCACATCGCAATGACGGAGTGTGCCGAGTGTCTGTCACATCGCAATGACGGAGTGTGCCGAGTGTCCGTCACATCGCAATGACGCAGTGTGCCGAGTGTCCGCCACATCGCAATGACGGAGCTGGACGTGTACCAAGTGTCTGTCACATTGAAATGCAGATTATTTGGCTCCCGGTTCAGCTCAAGCGTACAGTCAGAGCTGTGTACGTACACTGACAAGGAAGTCTTTGTTTTAAAAAATGGGGGGCATGGCTAAGGAGGCAGGCGTATGGGGCAGCTTTCTCCAGACCATTTATTGAAGACACTATTAACCCCTTAAGGACGGAGGGCGTACTATTACGCCCTGCAGGAGCCGGCTCTAAACGCCGGCGGGCGTAATAGTACGCCCTCACTTTAATGGCCGCCCATGTGGCCGGCGCTATTCGCCCGCTGCAGATCGCGGTGAGGGGATACCCGGCCCCAAGGCAACCTGTGGCGGTGGCGTCTGCAGTCACTGATCGCAGTGACAGGCTGTCACTGCGATCAGTTTTTTAACGTGTGTCAGCCGATTTCAAATCGGCTGACACACGTGGCCAGCGGCTCTCCCCGTGCAGATCGCGGTCGGAGGACTTACCTGGCCCCCCAGGCAGTCCCCCTGGGGTCAGTGACCGCGATCTGCTAGCTCTGAGATCGCAGTGACAGGCTGTCACTGCGATCTCAGAGCGCTCTGATCGCAGTGACAGCCTGTCACTGCGATCAGAGTTACATGTGTCAGCCTATTGGCTGACACATGTAACAGGCACAAAGATCCCCCCTGCAGATTGGAAGGGGGGAGTGCTTGTACCACCCAGGCACTCCCCCCTGTGGCCAATTACCAAATCTGCAGGAGGTGATCACAGTGACAGGCAGTCACTGTGATCACTGATCCTGTGTGTCAGCCAGTGATGTAAAATCACTGGCTGACACTGTCTCTGCCCCCTGTCCTGTAAAAAAAAAAAAAAATTAGTAAAAAAAAATTACAGTTAAATATAAAATATACTTAGATCATATATATTATATATATATGATCTAAGTATATATATATATATATATATATATACACACACACACACACATTTACACATACACGAAGTGTATTTAAATATTAATATATATAATTATTTATATATATATTACTATCAAATTACACGTAGACTAATACTGATTAAATATATATATATATATATATATATATATAATTATTGTTATATATATTTATATATAATATAAAAAAATGTAAATACGTAAAAAAAATAAAATTAAAAAAATAATTAAAAATAAATAATAAAAAAATATATAGATGTTTATTTCGTTCTAACTGTATTGTGATATTAATATATATATATTTATATCAAAATACACGTAGAACGAAATAATATATATATCTATATACATATATATCACTAAATATATACACCTATATATAAATAAAAATATTTAAAAAAATTATATATATATATGTATATATACACATATGTATATATATACATATATTAATTCTACACATATATTTATGTAATATTTTTACATAATTAGGTATCTAATTAATTACAATTAGCGGGACCTGCCTGACAACCCATGCCGAAAGTATAGGGAATTTAATTTGCTAGCACTATATTTAACCCTATAACTTTCCAAGACACCATAAAACCTGTAAATTGGGGGTACTGTTTTACTCGGGAGACTTCGCTGAACACAAATATTAGTGTTTAAAAACGGTAAAATGTATTACAACAATGATATCGCCAGTAAAAGTGAAGTTTTTTGCATTTTTCACGCACAAACAGCACTTACACGGATGATATTATTGCTGCAATACTTTTTACTGTTTTGAAACACAAATAATTGTGTTCAGCGAAGTCTCCCGAGTACAACAGTACCCCTCATGTTACAGCGTCAAATATAAGGCTTGTGTTTCATTTTTTTCACATTAAAATTCGCCAGATTGGTTACGTTGCCTTCGTGACCCTATGGTAGCCCAAGAATGAAAATTACCCCTATGATGGCATACCATTTGCAATAGTAGACAACCCAAGGTATTGCAAACAGGGTATGTCAAGTCTTTTTTAGTAGCCACTTAGTCACAAACACTGGCCAAAATTGGCGTTTTTTTTGCATTTTTCACACAAACAGATACTAACGCTAACTTTGGCCAGTGTTTGTGACCAAATGGCTACTAAAAAAGACTGGACATACCCCATTTGCAATACCTTGGGTTGTCTACTATTGCAAATGGTATGCCATTATGGGTGTAAATTTCATTCCGGGCTACTATACAGTCTCAAAGGCAACGTAACCAATCTGGCGAATTTCAATTTCAAATGTAACGTGCTATATTTGACCCTGTAACTTCCCAAAACGCCATAAAAGCTGTACATAGGGGGTACTGTTTTACATGTGAGACTTTGCTGAATACAAATATATGTATTTTATTGCAGTAAAAGCAAACAGTATTATGACATTGACAGTTAAAATGTCATGTAGAACTAAAAAAATCAAACAAAATCTTTTCTCACATTTTTTTCATATTAAATTATGTTTCATAGCTAAATATTTGATATTAAATGAAAGCCCTGTTTCCCCTGAATAAAATGATATATAATAAGGGTGGGTGCATTTACTATGAAAGAGGTGTATTACGGTTGGACAGACATGTAACGCAAATGCCAGGTTTTGTTTACATTTTGTTTCGTTCACAACGTGTACATTTGGCTCCGTCCTTAAGGGGTTAAGCAGCCTCAGTGTGTGTTTTCCCATCACAGGAAAGTCATGGAGAATCGAGATGCTGTCTATGAGAAAATCAGCCAATATCTACAGTTAAAGAATGTCATAGAGAGGCTCCAGGTAACCGGGTGCATTGTGGGAACTTGATGATGGCTGTGGGTTATATATGATCAGGGGAGGCTGTATAGAGGGTACTACAAAGATAGTGTACAGTAAGGGGAGTCCTGGGTTTATTATTATAAATAAAGCAATGTAAATGCTGACCTATGTATTAATCACAGTGCGGCTCTTTTTGTGTAGGAGATGTCGCCATCTGAGACCCTCGAAACACAGGTTGATCTGGGCTGCAACTTCTATGTGAATGCTGAGGTGTGAGTAATCAGATTCTGGGAGTTAACCTGATTCCCAAAGGCCGAACCCTCTTCATAATGATGGGAACCTAATATTGATTCTCCAGGATATTACCCAAACCCAGTGCATGCATTCCTTCCATGTTCACCTCCTGGCGGGTTTATTCACCAAAATTCGTATAATTGAATAAACCCAGTCTCACTGTCACCTCAGCACCCATTGACACATATCTATTTCTATATCTCTCTCTTCAACATTGGCACATGTCTCTCACTCCCCTCCATTGTCACGTCTCTCACTCTCTCACCATTGGCTAGTTCATGTCTTTCTCTTCCTCCCCCCCTCCCCCCCCTCTTTAGCGCATGTCTGTCTCTC